CCCCCCGAGAGCAAAGACTTTGCTGTAAGACACCCATCACAGGGAGAAAAGAAGGAGTCAAAAATGTAACAAGGCTGGTGAAAGCACGGGGGGTTATGGTCGGCGTGGCGAGGCGCAGGGGAAGCAGGCTGAGAAACAGAAGAGGGGCTGTTTCCCCCTGGGATGAGCGAGGACAAGACCCACAGGGTGAGCACTGAGATGGGGCAGGGAGGTGGCTGGGGACCAGGACAGTTGCCTTTTTGATTTCAGAAAAAGAATAAATTTCCCCTAGAAAATGTGCAGCTGAATAACACAAATTCACCAAAATTCAGGGGTTTACCCCTCCTCGCCCCCACCCCACCCCTTCCCATTCTTGCCCAAACGGCAAGCCAAGCACTCGTGATTAGGAGTAGCTGTGCCCCTGCAAGGTCACCGGCAAATCTTGCTTCTGTTAACAGATCAGTTCAACACACGCCCTTTTTTCCTCCCCTGTTCTCTTCCCAGGACAGCAGCCCCAAACAATGTGGGGATGTTATAAACAGCAGCTGCTCTCCTGCACGTTCCCACAGTGTTTTTAATTTTGTTGGCGATGGGCTGCCAGACAAAGGCATCCCACTTCCAAAATGTTTTCTTTTAGGAGCAACACCCGGTCCTGAGAGCAGCCTGGCCACTGGTAAACAGCTCAACTGCCTATAAACAGCTCAACTGCCCATAAACACCAGCTTCAAACCTAAAAATTAATCCCCGTTCTGGCACACACATTATACTTTTATATGGCAAATATTCCTTATTGTTTCCATAGGAGACAGGTAAAATCACTGCAGGAAGCATTGCTAAAGCTGTTATAATGGCCTGGGGAATCTTCCCAGGCCAAAATACCTGCTTAGACAACCCAGGGGCACCGGGTGGCTCGCAGCAGCCCAGTGTAACATGCCCTGTGTCCGAGGTTGTAACGGTGACATAAGCCAACTCTGGGAGCACTTTGATCGTGGCCACCAGGCCAGGAGATGCTCCAGGTGACAGCGGCAGTGAGAAAAGGGGGATGCAGCCACTGCAGCAGCCAGGGACGTCAGGGCCTGCTCATCGACTTCACCACAGGCATAAAAGAAAATTCACCTGCAGTGGCATCTCTCACATTAAGCAACTCCTTCCAAAAACGAGGTGCCTACACTCACTCCTGGAGAGGTCCCTGTTTAGGAGCGAGGGGAAAGGCAGTCTGAAGGTAAGGAGAAAGAAGAAAGGGTTGCTGCACCCCATGCTGGGGACTCAGCTCTGAAAATAAGCCCTTAAAAGCACCGAAATGCATTTGAAAGCACTGAAATCGCATTCTCCTGACAGGAAAGAGTTAAGGAGAGATTCAGACGACCCTAAATTTTAGCAGCCGAGCCCTTGGTGGCAAGGCTTGTGGTGGTTAGCGACCGGCTTCAAGCAGGAAATTATTTTAAACAGAAACAGGGAGGGGATGTGTTACAGCAGCGTGGAAAAATCTGCTGCAAAATGGACCAAAAAATTGCACTGCATGAGATGCAAAATCGTTTTTCCTATTCATCCGCCAACTCAAACCCTGGGGGACGTTTTTCAGTGCCTCCACATGAGACCCCTCTGGGAAATCGCCCCCTCACCAGGGATCCAGCCCCAGGGTGCTGCTGAGGCTTTGCAAAGACCACGAGTATCTGCATAAGTAGGGCATAAATGAAAACTGAATCCAACTTGGCAGCCAAATTAAAAATTTTTTTGTCCCCAAACATGGAAACAGTGAAGGCTGCTGACACCACTTCACCCTTGTATTTCACCCTCTGAACCCTAAGCCCCAAGTGCTTTAAATCTCTCCCTCCTGAAGACATTTCAAAGCAACTCTTTTATATTTTATCTATCATTTAAATATTTCTTTGTATGAGCCACACAGCGTATGAGCTAACAAAGCAGCGAGGTGGGGAGCCCCACCAGAATTTCCTTATTTTTGTGGGTTTTCAGCCACAAAATTTGATTGAGGTTTCTTGCCCTTGGCTTCAAAGTTTTCTGCGGTGCCTCATGCCTCTGCTTTTGGCGTTCAGCATTTCCAGGCCTGGAGAAAAACACCCCCTGCTAAAGATTCTGCTAAAGAGAACAACCCCACACCTCAAATTGCATCTTGTCCTTACTTTGAATGCATTTTGAGTTCAACAGAGGAGAAAACAGCCAAAATCCATCCTTTCCTGCTCTAATTTTTAATGCCGAGCTCCTACATTTGTCATTTTTTAATTGCAGGGAACTCGATTAAAGGAAGGAGGAAAAGCTAGGTGACAAAATATGAAGGAATCATAATTAAAAATCAGTGAGTTTTCATTTTCTTCATGAAGGGGGTTTCGGGGGATGCCCTGCAGTGCTGGAGAAGCGCGTGGGGCTGCCGCCCTGATGCACACCTGGATCTGGGGCTTGGTGCAGAAGCAGCTGCTGAGCTGAGGCTCCGGACGCCGCTGCGGCAGATGCTCTTTGGCAGCCATCAGCGAGACATCTGCGCCGAGATGGGGAAGGACTTCCTGGGGTGAAGCCAGCCCTACCACCAAGAGGTGACCGTGCGTGGAAAGGGGGAGCTGGCACAAAACCCCTCCGTCGTTGACTGCGCCGCCATGGTCCAGCTCTGGCTCCGTCTCTGCATCTGCCTCCAGATCCCAGGTAAGAGGGACACGTCTCTTAAGGGTTGTGGGCACCTAAAATCATGCTGGAGCCTCTCATCCACCCTGCTGCAGCACATGGGATGTGTTGCACAGCATCTGGATGATGGAAGTTTAAATACACGAGCATAGCGTGGATCTACAGGATCTTATTACCTATCGCCGCATAATTTTGGATAACACCACTAATAACCTGCTTTAGCTTTTGGCCAGCCCTGAAGCAGTCAGGCAGTTGGACCAGATGATCACCGTAGGTCCCTTCCGACTGAAATGGTCTGGTCTGGTCTGGTCTATTCCGTTCCATCCCATTCCATTTACAGTGCAATATGGAAGGTATAGACACCACAGAGTTAGTTTTTACTGCACCCTCTTAGTGCGGACGGACTGTGGGAAGCTGCTGGTGGAGAAGTTAAAGCAGCACCTATCTATGCTGCCTATGCAATGTGAAGACATTAAACAGGCCATCAAATTTTCTCCTAAATCTAGCCAAGGACTGAATGTTTCCCAAGGGCCACAGTTGGAATCGGTGTGTTACAAAACTGTGCTGCCTCCTCCTTGTCTCAGACAGGTTCCAGGGGTTTTGGACCGAATATATACGGTTGATGTTGCAGCAAAGTGGTAGAATCACACTTTACGGGACAAACTGTGCCACCAGTTTTTAGGTGGAAAGAACACTTTCCACCTAAAGAGCTTGAAACACATCCTGAACCCATATATCAGGGTGGCAGCTCAGGTTGGTCCTCCGAGACGTTGCCCCACAGCTGCCCAGCATCCTCACTAGAGGCTGTCAGGACCGCAGAGTGTTTTGTTGGGGCTGAGTGATGGCCATCCAGCCACGGCGTAACACTGCCGGCCTGGCAGCAAACGGCCTGAGGTGCCTTACCGACACCTATATGCAGGTAGTTATATCCTATAGAGCTACATGGTGGGGTCCCTGCTGAGAAAACCCCAATAAATTAGAGTTGGCTTCACAGGTGCGAAGGGAAAAGGGACTGTTTTCGAGCTGCTGTGATGAAGCACATGGAAACAAACCTGATTCCCTTCGGTCCCCCGTAAGAATATATACTGGGAAAGGGAACAGCGGAGCTTTGGGATGAAGGGGTGACAGAGAATGAGCTTTTCTGCTCTGGCTCTGTCCCAGATCACCCCGCTGGAGCTTGGCCACTGGCTCAGAGCTAAGCTGAGCATTTTCCAGAATCCCTTCTCATCTCTTCCAATTTATCTAATAACCTCTCCAACAGCTCAAGAAACAGGTTTTCATGGGGGGTTAAGTTTTCCATGCCCAGCAGAGCCAGACCTCTGGGCAGCCAAGGAGACTCTGAAGCCACCATGCCCCATGGCCACACGCATTTCAGCCCCTAAAAAACCACACAGGTGTTTGCCAGGGGAAAGTCTGGGAGGGTTGCACTCCAAAACCTGAAAATGATGTATTTTAATAATAAGGAGACA